TCTAAACCCTAAACCCTACACCCTAAACCAAAACCCTAAACCCTAAACCCTAAACCCTAAACCCTAACCCCTAAACCCTAAGCCCTAAACCCAAGTCCTTAAGAGTAGGTTATTTAGGGCCCAGGTACAGCCCAGAAACCACCTAAACCCTAGCTCGGATAACGCAGTACCAGCTTTGGGGGTTTAGGGTTTAGGGTTGGTGGTGCTAATGCTTAGGATTTAGGGCTAGAGGCTTCATGTGATAAGCTGCAGCAATTCTGGTAGTCCTCTGCTCTTTTTTGATTTAATGTAGCTCTAGCGCAAAAAACCTCCAACACCCTCTTCTTCTAATTATAAGGACCCTTGATTAGGGTGTTGTCTGGCTTTCAGCCTGTACCCTGAACCCTAAACCCAAAACCCTAAACCCATGGGTTTAGTGTGTAGGGTTTAATGATCTCGAAGTAGTCCAAGATCCAGGCGAGTCCGACTGGTCAGCCAGTTCCTTGGAAAGTATTGTCGGGGCCTTAATAACTAGAATAGGGTTTTGGGGGCTCATCATACTATAATTATAGTAAGGAACCCCCCGCAAAACAAAAATTCATTAGTAATTAATAGCCCCCGACATTAGGCTGTCATGAAACCTAGGCTTTTGGAGTCCGACCTCTGGCTTAGGGTGTAGGGTTTAGGGTGTTGGGTTTAGGGTTTAGGGTTTAGGGTTTATAGGGGTAACAACAACTCGAGTATGAAAGCCTCTGTGACGCTGAAGGGTTTAGGGCTTAAGGCTGTAATTAGGCTTGGCCGGAGGGGTGTAATATAGACGCCTAACGAGTGGAACAGGTTTGGTTTAAGCGCGCTTTGGGGTTCTACAAGTGTTACTTGAAGGGCTCTATGAGATGGAGGGCCTTAATGACTAGAATAGGGTGCTGCAGTTTGCGATGATGGTTGTGGTTAATATCACTACGATCAAGTATTCTCTGCTACTGAACATCCTGTTGGAAGTCTTGCTTTGTACCGAAAGGCTTTGAGTTTCGCGTGTTCACCCTTTTTCTTGAAATCTTCGTGCCTCTCCGACCATGAGCTGCTTCTGTATGGGCCTTACCCTAAGGCTCTTATTGCTGTTATGGGCTTTCTAGGGGAAGGTTTGGGCTTTGGGGGCTAAGGTTTGGGCTTTCAAAATGGGGGTCCATGAGCCTTAGGGTAATGATTAGAAGAGGGTTGTTGGGATAAGCAGGGACGCCAAGGAACAACATAATTAGTCTGGCCCGGAAGTTCTTGAGAATCACTGGATACGGGCATGAAGTGCTGCCTACAGTAGGGGCATTAATAAGAATTGGATTTGGGGGTGTAGTACACTATAGTTATAGTGAGGAATCCTAAGGCATAGCCTCGGTAATCCCTAAAATTCCTAAACCCTAAACACTGAACCCGGGCAGGTGAAGTCTGCAGTCTGTGACTCCATGGACGCCATGGCCAGCACCCCTAAGGGTCCATGTGTCCAAATAGTATATTCTTTCGCCCCCAAAGTATCCATATGGGGACTACTTTCAGGCCAAAGCATATATACTATTTGGGTACATGGACCCTTAGGGTACCAAGGGGAAGACGAGACCAACTTTTGAGACATGTTCTGACTGTCGACGCCGTGGAACGCCAGACATGTGTGTATGTATGCTTGGGGGTTTGGGTCTCTGCTTCTGAGGCCTAGTCCAAAGT